GTTTCTTTTAGAAAAATTTAGTTATGTTTAATCAACGTCACTACTAAAATGTAAATAAAAATATATCTGTGGTAAAGAAAAGCCAGAAAACTCCTGTGGATTTTTATCTATTCCTTAGTTCTTGTAAGTGAACACTGTCATGTAAAAATAAGATCCTTCATTATACATTATATAAAATATGGTACAAATGAAATATTGACTTTACTGCTAAAATAATTCAGTATCTGAGTTAAAATACAGATATTTTCATTACTGTTAGGTTAGGTTACTCATACAGTATCAGCAGGAGAAAGCTTCACCACTTTGTGCTGTTGAGTTGGGAAATGCAGGAAAACCATTTTTTGTTTTTCATTTGTACCAAAAAATTTGATAATGGACTAAATAAAATTATTTAACTCTTAATCTGATTAAAGCTTAACTGTTTGAAGGTTAACCTAAATTACTAGTTTCAGAATGATTGTATGTTTTTTACTCTGTTTAAATTATTGAAAATCATTGTTAACGTTTTCACATGTAAATCACAGCAAGAATTGCACTGAGGTAAATATTTTACAGAAGAACTTCTGCTTCCTCAAATCCACATTACGATATATGATATATAACACACATCTCAAAGCAGGTCTTACATTCTGATATGAAGCTAAACTCTCAACCACTGCCTTCAGCACCTGGTCGTTGTGCCACAGAAAATAGTGTATTACATAAAATACACAAGATTTAAATATGGAACCCAAGATGATCTGTAAATGAAAGAGTTACACTACAGCTGAAACATGTAAACGATGCTCATCATAATGCCTCGTAGCAAAGTGTAGAAGTAAATCTAGTTTTACAACATGCTTTCAAACACGGTCATTGAGCTGCAAATTGGAAACTACCTATTAACTAGAACTGTTTGTATCAGTGTTTGTTATGTAACCAGAGCAATGCTTGGTTTGGTTTTTGCTTCTTTACATCCTGGTTGTTGTGCCAAATGGTGGCCCTGAGTGGATTCATCAGTCCTATTTTACAAACATTCATATTAAATAATTCTAACATCCAGTTTGATGCATATTCAGAACACTGCAGAAGTATCACAATAATCCCCAAAACTCTCCAAATAAAATAATAAATCCAGGTCATAATGCTAGAAACACAGCGTCACCGGTCAGATCAACTTTGACTTCATGGTGGCAGTTTACTAAATATAAAGTGATAAAACCAAGAAATCATCACATAAATAAACAAATCTCCACTTGCAGCAGCACTAAGTCTCTCATTATATAAAGTAAAACCATATAAGTGCCGATCTGCAGTCATATGACTTCTTGTAACTCGTGGAAAGAAAGTGAAAGTGACAAAAACAAAGTAAAACAGTCTTGGGGACGTTCCCTGGTGTGTGCAGAGTTCATTGTCTGTGTTTACTGCTCAAACCTGAGAAGGATAACAGGTGGGATCCAAATGAACAGAGTGCGGATAATTCTATGAAAACTGGAGCTTTAAATTTGTCTGAAGATGATGCGGTTTCACTTTGAAAGCAATAAAAGTTTTACTTCTACAGTTTAGCATGTTGTTGCTTGCAGGGCAACATCTTCTAAATTCACAATTTTTCTCTTGATGTTTGTGCAGATAATGAACGGCTTTACTGTGATGTGAGTCATGCACCGATTACACCGTTTGACCAGTTAAAGAAGTCGCAGTATTTTTAAGATCCTCCCACACATTTTCACTTCACTTAAGGGACTGTGAGGTATCAAAAGCTTCAGATTCTTCTTTTGGTTTAATAAAACAAGCTTTTTTCATCGCTCACTCATTTTCAGGTAATGAAGCTGAGTGTGAAGAAACTGGGATGAGAATCAGCACCTAAAGTCTGGCCATGGTTCCAGCTGAAATGGGTGGAGCGCCCATCAGCACCACTTTTCAGGGATGAACTGCTGCCCTGATTGGAAGATATCAAGTATTGGGGCATGTATAATAAGTGATGGGAGAGTGGAGCAAGAAATGGACAGGTAGTTTGGTCCTTTATTGGTTTGGTGTGGTGAAAAGAGCAAAGGGTAAAAATAATTATAACTAGAAACTCAAATTAAAGATCATAACAAAATACTTAAATATGGCCCGATGTATTTGAGTAAAATATTGGCCTGAACTGTCCAAGCTCCAACGCCAGGATTTGAACAAGTTAGCAACACCTCATTTGATATAAGCTTGGAGATTTTTCTTTCATCCTGCCATGACATTACTTAGAGCGCACGCAGATAAGTAAAAATCTTCATGTAAAATGTGATCTCTTTTTAAAATTTGTTATCAGAAAATGTGCTTTAGTTGTTCCAATGTTGATTCTAAAGTATTTACAGAAACAGCTAAACTAGTATAATAATCAGGATAAGGTGGAAATTTCCTCAGAGAACGTTTCTTTCCCCCAAAATTAAGGTTACATAATGGAACGTTTTGCATTTAATTTTTTCATTGACAGTCTGATTTCTCTGAGACAGTCTTCTATTTTATCAAAGTTAAATGATGCAAACCACGAGGAAGCCAGATTCCTATTTATTTCTTCCACATTTAGCTTTGAGTCATTAAACATATTCTGAAAAAGATTTACTTAATTGTTGTGATTGTTAACTGAATAAAACATGTCACAGAAAATGAACAATTACGTTTTAAAATATAATCTAGGATCATTTGTGAATCACAGTGTTTACATACAGACATCAGTGAGCCGAACAATAACATTTGGTGATGTGCATTTATTCATGTACATTGTAAAAAGATAATGTATCACATAGGAAATTGACAATCAATGTGTTCCTTTGTTTCAGTATTTACTTTGTGGAGGTTCGTCTTTGTATAGTTACATTTATTCTAATTTCTTCCTGTAACAATAATGATATGAGCTTCCTTACTGATTGTTTGTATCCTCTGTTTCAGACAGTGGATCTATGTGATGTCAGTGAGACTAAATAATCCTAATATTGTCATCTCAGGCACACACCTCTGACTGCGAAAACAGAAGCCCCAGAAACTTGGTAATAAAATAAAACGAAACTTTTGCACCTCAATTAATCATTATTAATATGTAATACTGAATTAGTGCTGACTATAGGTATGATAGGAGGCATAAAATGTGAAGAAAGTACAAAGGAGAAGGAAAGCCATAGATGCAAGACTTCAATCAGAATTTTGTGTTTTGTTCTTTACATGTATTTATGGTTCGGTATATCCTGTAACTTTGATGTAATCAGATGAATTCATGATGGACTCCTTCATCCTCCGTGAACCATAATCACCGCCTGCACTTTTTTGCTGGCTTTGATTTTTGGTGCAAAGTCGTTGTCCAGTGGCATGCCATCAACGTGCAGCTTCATATCCTCCTTAGTGTATTCTACAACAGCTTAACAGAGGACAGAGAGGATTTTACTTTACAGTCTTTAGAATAAACATAGCTACAAATATGTCATCAATAATTATACCATGTTCCCTGTATTAAAGTGAGCCACATCAGCGTGATTGTCAATAAAGGTGATCCGTAGCAGTTAATTAATAATATAATAATATCATTTTATTATGAATAATAAAAAAAATAATTTCAAGAAAAAATCTTCCAAGGCATTTGCACTTCATAAAATTTTATTGATTCTTTTAAATAATAAAAAAATGAATGTAGAGTCATTAAGCACTGATCATGATCATTTTTATTTATTTGTTAACAATTTTTAGGTTACTTACATTCCTTCATGAGCATTTTTAGCACGTTCTTTTTGAGAATGCTCACAGGCATTTCTTGTAGCTGTTTGGCACTCAGAGGCATCACGTGCCTCCGACCATCAGGCAAAATAATGAAGACTTCTAAAAGCATCTGAAAGTTATGAGAGGAGACGGTTACTACCTTTGTTTAACAGCGCTTAACACATTTATTAGATCACATATCATAAAAAAAGAAAAACACAAATACTTTAGAAACCTGTCTTCTCTTTTCAGTGAATGCTCTATGTGCAAC